TATTTAGTTTAAAAAAGAAAGGTTGCCTGGACACTACCAGAAGAAAGTGGTTCTTTATGCTCACTTGTGTTCACCAAAAAGTAAAATTTTTGTTTATTGCATAGTATTTCACCCAAACCAATTTTATTAAAAAAAAAAAAATAGTTGTGGGTATCTGCTTTTCCTCTTGTAATGAATCAAACCTTAACTACCCTAACTGGGTTGGTAGCACAGTTAGGTCACACATTGAGGTCCGGTTCGATCCCTGGTATGGGTGGAAACATTAGGACACATTTCCTTAAGACATCTGTTGACCATGTTCACCTAATAGTAAAATTAGGTACTTGGATGTTATCAACCTGGTGTGGGTAGTATCCTGGAGACATAATTGACCTAATTTGCCCAAAATGCCTAGAACAGATTAACTTGGTGGCACTCGATGTATGCACAAGGCTTATTCCTCTAAGAAAAAGGAGTAGATGCAAAATAGAAAGACAGGCGCTCCCTTTACAGGCGACGGAAAAGAATAACAGAGCGGCTAAAAGAGGTCAATATATCTGAAATGCGTAGGGAGACACTGGTCAGAGAAATCGCAAGCATCGAACTCAAGCTAAAGGAATCTTATAGGAGTCAGGAATCGCGGGAAGAACTAAAAGCCATAAATGAAATCGAAAGAAACCCAAAGTATTTCTTCTATGCCAAATCAAAGTCGAGAACAACGTCCAGTATTGGGCCCCTACTTAAACAAGATGGGTCCTACACAGATGACAGCAAGGAAATGAGTGAGCTACTCGAGTCCCAATATGACTCGGTTTTTAGCAAGCCGCTAACCAGACTGAGTCGAAGATCAAAATGAATTTTTTATGAGAGCCACAAAATTTGGTTAACACAAGCCTATCCGATGTTATCCTGACGCCAAATGACTTCGAACAGGCAATAAATGACATGCCCATGCACTCTGCCCCCAGGGCCAGACTCGTGGAACTCCGTGTTCATCAAGAACTGCAAGAAGCCCCTATCACGAGCCTTTTCCATCCTATGGAGAGGGAGCATGGACACGGGGGTCGTCCCACAGTTACTAAAAACAACAGACATAGCCCCACTCCACAAAGGGGGCAGTAAAGCAACAGCAAAGAACTACAGACCGATAGCACTAACATCCCATATCATAAAAATCTTTGAAAGGGTCCTAAGAAGCAAGATGATCACCCATCTAGAAACCCATCAGTTACACAACCCAGGGCAACATGGGTTTAGAACAGGTCGCTCCTGTCTGTCTCAACTATTGGATCACTACGACAAGGTCCTAAATGCAATAGAAGATAAAAAGAATGCAGATGTAATATATACAGACTTTGCAAAAGCCTTCGACAAGTGTGACCATGGCGTAATAGCGCACAAAATGCGTGCTAAAGGAATAACAGGAAAAGTCGGTTGATGGATCTATAATTTCCTCACTAACAGAACACAGAGTAGTCGTCAACAGAGTAAAGTCCGAGGCAGCTACGGTGAAAAGCTCTGTTCCACAAGGCACAGTACTCGCTCCCATCTTGTTCCTCATCCTCATATCCGACACAGACAAGGATGTCAGCCACAGCACAGTGTCTTCCTTTGCAGATGACACCCGAATCTGCACGAGTGTCTTCCATTGCAGACACTGCAAGGCTCCAGGCGGACAACCGAATCTTTCAGTGGGCTGCAGAAAACAATATGAAGTTCAACGATGAGAAATTTCAATTACTCAGATATGGTAAATACTAGGAAATTAAATCTTCATCAGAGTACAAAACAAATTCTGGCCACAAAATAGAGCGAAACACCAACATCAAAGACCTGGGAGTGATCATGTCGGAGGATCTCACTTTCAAGGACCATAACATTGTATCAATCACATCTGCTAGAAAAATGACAGGATGGATAATGAGAACCTTCAAAACTAGGGAGGCCAAGCCCATGATGACACTCTTCAGGTCGCTTGTTCTATCTAGGCTGGAATATTGCTGCACACTAACAGCACCTTTCAAGGCAGGTGAAATTGCTGACCTAGAAAATGTACAGAGAACCTTCACGGCGCGCATAACGGAGATAAAACCCCTCAATTACTGGGAGCGCTTGAGGTTCCTAAAACTGTATTCCCTGGAACGCAGGCAGGAGAGATACACGATTATATGCACCTGGAAAATCTTGAGAGACTAGTACCGAACTTGCACACGAAAATCACTCGCTACGAAAGCAAAAGACTTGGCAGACAATGCAACATCCCCCCAATGAAAAGCAGGGGTGTCACTAGCACGTTAAGAAACCATACAATAAGTGTCAGGGGCCCGAGACTGTTCAACTGCCTCCCAGCATACATAAGGGGGATTACCAACAGACCCCTGGCAGTCTTCAAGCTGGCACTGGACAAGCACCTAAAGTCGGTTCCTGACCAGCCGGGCTGTGGCTCGTACGTTGGTTTGCGTGCAGCCAGCAGCAACAGCCTGGTTGATCAGGCTCTGATCCACCAGGAGGCCTGGCCACAGACCGGGCCGCGGGGGCGTTGACCCCCGGAACTCTCTCCAGGTAAACTCCAGGTAATAACGAGGATAACAAGGGGTTTTCTATATAGCAGTATGCTCTTGTCAGCTAGGTCTGTATATGTTGTACATGCACTTGTAGAAATAATTAGTGACCTGTGGCTTGAGAGTATTTGACATTGTGCTCAAGGTATTTATCAGTGTGCATTGGTTTTGGAGTAAGTATTGTAAACTATGGTAGTCAGGCATTACATTGAATGAGAACACAGAGAAGGCCTACTGGGTCATAATACAGGTCTTACACACCTGACATTCCCACTCGTGTATTTGTCATTTGTTTAAAACCACTTGAGAGTATTCACCTTAGTGACGTTATCTGGCAGTTTGTCACGCGAGATCTCTTGGCTGTTTATAAGGATCCATGCTGTTGATGCACAGAATATCCTGATACACCTCATAACTATTTTTCTCCAAGAAATTTAATAGGAAAAAATTGCCCTAGACCTCTGTGTGCATAGAGGCATTGCCACTACTTCCATTGAGCATTTTACAAAGCATTTAAGAATAGTTACTATGCTGTTGCATTCTGGCAATAGCATTCCATCGCCAGATGGAATGCTGATTCGACGTTGCATAATTTTTATTGTATCCCAGCAGCTGGAATATCTTTCCTAAATTCTGTTCACCTGTCCTTGGTAAGTTCTGGGTATTTTGGATGACTCAGTCATGCAAAATAGCTGAGAGGTGCTCGCATTGTGTTTGGACAAAATACACCAGTATGGGATCGAATCTTGATTAGTCTAATTCCACGGGTGCTGCACGAGCCATAAGGGTTTAGTGCTACACGAGGAATATAATCATATTACTCGGATACCATCCAGGCAGGGTCTTTTCACGTACTGCACAAGATAAGTTTTGTTATGGGCTACATGACTAGCAGCGTGTACCAAACACCATCACGCCCATATGCTGGTTTTGCTGCATTAGTTGCTGACCATGACTAAAATACCTCCATCCGGTTTAGTTTTATACACGTTCAGTATACCCACCCCCCATCCCTACCAGACATGCCACCCAGGTAAAACACTTAGGTACCCGTTTGCTATCTTTATCCAAGTAATTGGAGCTATCCTACCTTAGAGATTAAACCTGAAAGTCCTTCATTCCCTAGGTGCTATAGATTCATTTGAATATAATAGGGTATACTCAAAATTAGCAGCATAATTGAAAGTATTAGACCAGTATTTTAAGTTGTATCTATTGTTGGCACCCAAGTCACTTTTATATCCTTGTAAATAGCTATGTAAATAAGTGTTCTCCGCCACGTGTCAGGGCTAATAATAAATGCATTTGCAGTGCATAGTTGCCCCTTTACATGAAGATGAAGTATGAATTTAATGTGGTTATCTGTGGTGGTGAGCTCATTGTGGAGCCGAGCACACTTCGGGGTGCTTCCCACGTGTGGCATTGGGCGTAGACATACATGGGGTGCGCTGGATCCACCACGGGGGTGGAGTCTCGTCCTCTTCAAGGGCACCACGCGCCTCGCCACCCTTCTGCTCTTACCTCCTGAAAATGAAAGTTCCGCACTTGTAGATGCATCAAATGATAATTGCGTGTGCTGGGGCATTATTTTAGTGTCTTCTCTTCTGGCAAGGCAGCCATGGAATGTCCCTGCCTTGAGTAACTGATTTTATGGGTTATCTTAGATAATTTACACTGTATGATTGTACTTCTGTGCCTAAATAAACTTGCTTATCCTGTAGATTTAGCAGATAGTTTTATTATTCTGTAATATAGTATTTAACAGGCCACATTGTATTTGAATATATTAGTATCTTAGTTTTTAATTGCAATGTTGTGGGAAATGGGTTGATTGGCGATGGGAGGGGGTAGCTAGGTTTCAAATAAAAGGTTGAAGGGTGTTAAAAGTATTGTTGGCGACTGCAGTGGTGAGTCATATGATATCCCAGGGCTCATGAAGCCTCGTGATGTGAACAGGTTGCAGGTCATGTGTCCAGTGGCTGTATGCAACCATAGATTCTTTAGCTTAAATCTGGCGTGTTTATCATGCCCGCATGTTCATGGGGAGTGTTATGTTGGTGGTGATATCGCTGGATGAGGCTACAGCGGTAGTTAAGGAAGTGCGGGAAGACTTAGTGTTGGTGCGGAGAGTTCCAGAGATGACTCACCAGCGGCCGGCCTCAGCCACAATCTAGGCTGCTGCTGCTAGCGCCGCTCCTCCCCCAGAGTGACTCCTCCCTCTGCCTTGCTCCTCCACACATGGAGAGTGCACCTAGTTCCAGTGTCACCCACGGTCACACAGGTGTCTCCCTCACCCGTTTTTTGGAAAAGTCCCCCCTTTTCCCCACGCTGGGTTGCATAGAGTAGTCACAGGTTACACATGCGTTTTATGCCAACAAACTTTTCTCTCCCCCCCCCCCCCTTTTTTTCTACGTGCGCTGTTTGTTCGCCTTATTTGGGTTGTGATTCTTATCTATAGACGACTACCTTCACTTCCTTGTCATACACCTTTCACCTATTGACCTTGAGCTGCTCTTTCATTTATCCCCCGTATTAATTACTCTGGTGTTCCCGTTCCCACCGCTGGCCTCGCTGGCAGCTCTCACGTGCCTACACCGCAACCACGACCACCTGGCTCTTCCTACACCAGTACTTCTGCAGCAGTCACGGAAACTACGCTGGTTAGCTGTCGCGGCCTTGTCGAGCCCTTCTAGTGTGGCGTGCTTTGACTAATGATCGTACACGTCATGCACATACAGCTCAAGTCTGTGTTGTGAGGAGAACCTCAGTTCAGTGAAAGATATTTGTGCGTCTTGCCGGTTTTACTAGAGCTCATCAGGGTCCCCCCCCCCTCTTAAGATTGTCGTGCGGTGCTGAGATGGGGAACTCTGAAAGTAAAGATTCAAAGAAGAGAGCAAATGGCAAAGAGCATAAACCCGGTGGCACCGTGGAAGAGACGCCCACGCCAGGTTTACTGCCCACGGGGCTACCCACGCTTCAGGCAGATCTAAAGACTTACACCTCGTCACAGTCGTGCCCTCTGTGGAAAAAAAAGGGCAAGAGTAAGACGCAGGCGTCACAGACTACCTCAGGGACCACGCCCAGTAATACACCCATACCAAAGAAGTTTGTGACCACGCCCACTTCCTCGCCTAGTTTGAAGAAAACGTTTATGTATATTCCTGTAAATACACCAGAGAATAAAGTACAATCTACTAAGGACGCACCCGAAATAAAAAGTAAGTTTTTATTATTGCTCATAAAGCGTGCTTTACCATCTCCAGAAAACTGTGGGGGAATGAAATACTATAGTACAGTATGCTCAGTAATGACCCAAATGGAGACTAAGAAGATTAATTGGTCTGTATATTTCGATCCCCTTCTGGGATCCTCTGCTGAAGAGGTTCCCAGAAGGGGATCGAAATATACAGACCAATTGGTATTATCTCCGTGGATTATTATTAAGCATTGACAAGTGTTCGTTACACTATAGTTATCCATAACACAGTATTTTAACTGCATCGATGAAGTACAGCATTTTATGATTGTATACTGGTCTTCAATTTGATTTTCCTAATGCCCCTGCCTGACCAGCTTCGATGTAACCTGAAAGAGAGAGGGCACTGCGCCCTAAAAGCAAAAATCTATTCATGGCATTTAATGCACAATTAGGTTCCTTGACTTGTTAACACTGACACGTTTTTGACATCGACTGCTCTAGTATGCCTCCTGGTGCTGGTGTGTGCATGATAAAGGTCAGTGAGGACGGGCGGCCGGTCGTGGTGTCCTTGCAAATATCTTTGTTCCCTTTATCCCTCAAGGGAGGTTCCTTGATGCTGATGAGGCTCTTGATCTAGGGAATTGGATCTGTGCTTCAGTTCCCTAAATTGAGCCTGAATGCCTTCCAGCCCATCCCCCCATCCGGCACTACAATCCCTACGGGTTTAAGTACTCCATCATAATAATATAATTAACAATTTGTTCCCTTCAAGATTGACGTAACCAACAAAAGTGAGAAGCCATATTTATACTCCCAGTTACTATTTTCTTGTCAACCTCTGGCAGGCTTCCTTGTGGATTAAACTATTTCTTGTTGCTGCTTTTAAGATTTTTACCTGTGGTTGGGTCCCTGCGACGGCCTTTTATGGAGACAGCCACCTTCCATACCTGACTCACCACTAGAACGAGGTCACAGGTCTTGAACAATTCAGGGAAGATTAGCTCCTGTCCTTTTGGGTACGTCTGCACTGTGCAGATACCTGGTTTTATTTTGAACTATTTTTTTTTTTTAGGTAAAAATCAAATAGGACTGTAGATGAATGGTTCAGAGAACCGACAAGTTGATAAGCTACAAATGTGCAACACTTGGGTTATCTTTAATGAGGAAAAGTTTCGCCACACAGTGACTTCATCAGTTTATACAAAGGAGAATCGTGAAGAACAGTAGTAGTTTGTGGTAATCAGTCCCTAAGCCTTGAGTCGATGTAATCTATCAAAAATCAAATAGAATAGGTATCCAAACACTCTTGGTCCTTGATGTTAATATGTACTAGTTTATTTTTCATCAGTAACAATTGCTTTATAAGAAACAAGACAACACCGTGACTGGAACAATACAGTCAGCACGTAGGAGAAACTTATGGCGACGTTTCGATCTAACTTGAACCATTGCCTAGTCAGTGGTCAAAGTTGGACCAAAACGTACTCACAAGTTTCTCATGCGTGTGGGTTTTGTGAAAGTGCAGTATACTTGATGTTTCACCTAATTCAAAGTTGAATATTGACACGTAATCCAGTTACGAGAAGAAACTAGAGTGCTTTAAACAGGTCGGGAAAGGAAAGGGTAGTGACGATTGTAGCATTAGTAAACCACGCAGAAGAACTTAAAACTCGAGGGGACTGTCGGGAGAAACATCCCACAGGAAGGGGGGGGGAGGTCGCGCGCACAGCACTGCTCGCTTACTCTCCACTAGGTAGAAGCTAGAAGTCACAAGACTGGATGCGATACCTTTATACCTTTGCTTTACCTTTTGAGTTGTTTTTCTACTCCCGGAGCCCAGCCATGGGCCAGGTTCGTCTGGTGCTAGCCTGGTCAGTCAGGCTGTTGCTGCTGGATGTCTTTCAGTATACTTAATTGCACTAATTTCTTGATTTATTAAATATTTTATATTTATTATTTTTATTCAAACTTCACTGAGGGTACTTTGTTGGTTAGCTTCTGGTACGTCAAGTAACTGACAGCAACGGCCTTGTGTATCTTAGGCCAGATGTTTTGGAAAGGTATTAGAATCTTCCTTGACCTGACAGACGCAGTCGTGCATGCCAAGATTGGCTTGATATGTGACGCTTGTTGACTGGTGGAGGGTGAGGCAGGATTCATTGTAGATATTGTTTACAGTATACTTCCTTTTGTCCTGAAGTATAAGTTGAGTGTTTTGTATTGTGCTTGTACCCCATGGTAAGTTTTAGGTACAGGTACACACAAGTACGATTATCATGCATAGTATAAATTACCTAGAATAACCCAAATGTTTTGGTAAAATTGGTTACATTACCATTGGGCCGTTACCCGTATTTGCGTTAGTTACATTGTAGGAACTCGTACTAGGTGTTTGTTATATTCCACGTGTATATTGTACATGTAAAGAAATGTCACCCCTAATTTGGGAGACTTAGACAAGGTTATCAAGCTTGGCATTACTGATTAGCTACCTATGTAGCTTCATAGGTTTCCTTTTATCGGGGCTAAAAGGAAACCTTTTGGTTTCCCTATTTATGGATGGCCTCTCACACGGGAAATAAGATTTATGAAGGTATCCTCGCAAATCAAATAGTGGTACCTCGAGTTACGAACTTAATTAGTTCCTGAAGGCTGTTCGAGTGCCGATACCGAACGAATTAGTTTCCAAAAGGAATAATGTAAATTAGATTAGTCAGTTTCAGACCCCCAAAAATACTTACAAAAGCACTTACAAAAATACACTTACATAATTGTTTGAGTTGGGAACTGTTCGAAACTACACGAAATAGCTACATGTACACGCATAGTTGATATTCGTCACGTAAACACCTTTGCGAAAGCAAATACTTTGCTAAAACAATCCAGAATATCGCGAAACTAACACATCTGTCATGACAAGTTTCAACTAAATCCAGACTAATGCAAGAAAAGTTGAGCAGGACTATGCAACATTGAACGGTCAGACTGGGTCACTAAGTTTGGTGCGAAAGTAAGACGAGCCATGTTACTTCGCAGAAATAAACAAAAGTACCTGGAAAAATTCATTTGTATCCAGGTAAACCCCCGGTCGGGATTGAACCCGCGGTCAGTCTCAAAACTCCTGACCGCGGGTTCAATCCCGGCCGGGGTATGGTTTGTTTGCAATCGTGTCATTACGATTTCGTGAGTCATTTGTATCCATTAGTGTATAAGTGGCGACACGTGTAGGTAGAAAGATGAGGAAATGTGGGGAAAAGTGAAGAGGCGGCAGGGGGTTGAGGAGGGGCGGTGGGAAGCATCAGTCAGGGTTGACTCCTAGCGGGGCCACAATGACAACCCACACTTTCAAAGTATATTTAATATATATCATTAGCAAGGTAGTTTACATTTTATGAGTTTAGTTTTTCTACTCCCGGAGCCCGGTCATGGGCCAGGCTCATCTGGGGCTTGCCTGGTCAACCTGGCTGTTGGTGGCCCGCAGCCCCACGTATCCATCCAGCCTGGTTGATCCAACTCCTAGCGAAGATATAAGGAATTTGCTGAAACCCAGCGAGATGTTAAATATGCATTTAAATTTGATTTTTTTTTTTTTGCTTGAGGGCCGTTATGGTTGGCGGGGACGGCTGTGGGTGGAGTTATGGTTGGAGGAAATTAGGTAAGTTGCTGGTGGTTGGCTCTGGTTTGTGGCTTAATTAACGAATAAGGCCTGTTTTGTTATTTTTATGTGCTGTGATGTACTTTTTAATAAAATATAAAAAAAAATTAACGAATAGGAGAACTTGGTGTGACCTGCTGCTCATTCTCTAATGGTGGGTGGGTGGCTGTGGGAAAAAAAATACCTCGCGTGGGCCAGTGGCAGGAAAAGCGTTAAATTTTTTTTTTTTTTTTTTTTTTAGTGAGGGCGGGGGGAAGTGCGTAGGGACGGAAAAAGTGCAGGTTACCTTGCTTTAAGAAATTGACTTTGGGAATTGCATCAGGAAATTAGCGTAATAAAATTAAGCTAGGTGTTCTTGTTAGTGAATATTATAGCGACATGACACATGGTTGCCCACTACTTGAGCGAAAAGGACACGAAAGCATATACATAGGACACGTTTATTTCAGACGGTTCGTCCCTGGAACTCGGATCACACTACAGATGCATGAAGTGATAAAAATCCAAGATCCGGAAAATCCGGTATTCGTCTTTCTCTGAATGTTGTATGTAATATTGGATGCTTTTTTTCTCTCTCCAGGAGAGTACCGACACTAACCGTTCTTATTCCAGGAGGGAACACATAATTACAATTCATTTTAATTTTCTTCGTCCGCCTCGTCACCAAACGTATTTTGCATTTACTCTTTGAGTTGAGAGACTAACTATTCCCGGAGCCCGGCCCTGGGCCAGACTTGTCTGGTGCTTTGCTTGGTCATCCAGGCTGTTGCTGCTGGTGGCCTGCTGACCCACATCCATTACAGCCAGGTTGATCTGGCACCGGCGGAGGTGGTAGTCCTGTAGGGAGAGGGGGGGATTGGTCTCGGAGAAGCACTAAGACTAAGGGTCATACAGGAAGGGGAACGGAGACTTCCTTGATCAGTTGCTGGAAATGGAATGTTCAAACAAGCAATAGTGGGAAGATGCCTAGTTTGTTAGTGATGGGTACTTTGAAAATGAAGATTTTTCTGGGACCTAGTGTTCAGAGATTAACAATATGCTTTCTCTATTGTATATTTGCACACGTTTGGCAAAATTACCTCTCAACAGGCATGTTGAAAGTTTATTTTTCGTTATTACGCAAGCTATAACAGTGAATCAAGGTACACTTTAATGTTGTGGAAATATGCACACGGGAGCCCCGAAGTCTGAGCCGTGAGAGGTTTGAGATAGTGTGTGAGTCACAATGTTGGGGGTGTTCCCGGGAGCCGCGCTGCCAGGCTGCAGCATCCCAATCTCAGGTCATCCTGCTCTCTGATCTTTACGTTTTTTGCATGATGCGCCAGAGGTCATAAGGGAGTCATGGGTGGCGAGTAGGTCCTTTG